CAGGGAGCGGCTTCAGCTCCCTGACAGGGAATGACGTCAGCCATGGTAAGTGACTCAGGACCTGGAGGCCCGGGGCTCGCAGATGGCCCGGTTCTGGCCATCAGCAGGAGCTTTGTAACCCTTCACCACATTGCAGAGTGTACACCCATCCCCCCAATTTGCTGCAAGGTTATAGGAGACGATCTCGACACTCTTTGCAATGATGGTGTTGGAGTTCAGCCAAACTGGACTACTGGCCCTGAAACTGCACACTTGCCCACCACCGCCCTGCATGGTTTTCCCTCTACTTGACCTCGCCCCTTTGCCATGTACCTTCTCTCAAGCCCTGCTCCAAGCAAATCCCCCCCCCCCCCCCCATCCTGACTCAGGCATCCCAGCAGGGCATTATTTCCCCATCTTCTAAAGCCTACATCATCACCTCTGCACCACTTTTAAGACACTGTCGCATTCCACCTTGTATTGATGTCACTCCTGGTCGTTTTACCTGCTGTGTGACTTTGGGTCACTTCTTTTTCTCTGGGCCTCTGTCTCTTCACCTCTAGAGAACAGGCTATGACTTGGGACTCCCCGACTAACCTCCTCGGTCTCCGACATTGGAGGATTTTACTACCAAAGTCCTAACAGGAAGTATAGGTGGGGAAAAGCACTCCATTTCAAATCCTGGTTATTTCGGGCTGGTTCTGCATTAGGTATTTGTAAGCATGGAATTCTACCCAATATCCTTCAAAAACATAATCCATCCCATTCATCCCAGTTGTGAATAGGACTTAGCTGGCAACTTGGGTCAATTTGCTTTTTTAATAAATCACTTTCTCCTAAGCCCAGCAGAACCCCCTTTAGAAAAAGAAGCCAGTGGCCAAGGGCTTTCGTACCCAAGTGTTATTCAGGTCCAGGCTGTCGTGAGGAAAGTATGCATCACCCCCAGCAGGAAAAGTCCCTCGAAGGCCTGTGCCTCAGGCAAGAGCACAGGACCCTAAGGGACCTACGCATCCTCCAGCAACCGGGGAAAACACGGGCCACCAACACACACAGCTGCTCCCCAGGTCACAGCGGCTCCCCATCTTTGATCCCCGAGAGACAGGACTATTGCTAGACCACCTCCTGAAAACATTTACCACCAAACCAGCGTAAGGCCTTGAGCTCCCTGAGCAAGGTCAATCCCCCCTCCTCCCCATTTTGGATGCGGCCCTCCTGGGAAGGACAGTGGAAACAGGTACCACTTCAATGCCCCGAGGCTGCTCCACTGAAAGGAAGCTCTGCTCATCAGCCAGACACCGTGGGAACTTTATTTTGAAGAAATCCTGCTGAAATACGGTCTTGTTTGGGTTTCCCGTGGAGAGTAATTTGTCACCTGTGGCCTCCCAATCGACAACACGTACACAGAATGCTCAGGGAGACACCACTCCAGCCGACTCTGAGAGAAACCCCAGAACAGCTCCAGAACCACCACCCTGGATGTGAAGACAACACCACGTGCCCCACCTGGGGGCTTGTGTGGCACCCCTGTCCTCATACTTGGCCCTGTGTTCTAGCAGCCACAGTCCGCCCACACACTAGTCACTGAACTAAGAACCCGCGGAGGGCAAGCACTCACTTTAACCCTGAATCCTCAGGCCTCCTGGCACCAAAGTCTCTCCCCCATCCCTCCTCCCCTCTCCCACCATGCCCTGTCCACAGAAGTGGCACCAGCCTCCACTCACCAATGACAGCCACAAACCTAGGAATCACCGTGAATCCCTCACTTTCCCTCAAGCCCCACGTTGGTATGTCCTATTGCATTTCTGTGTCCCCTTTTCTGTACCTCAGTCCCAGTCATCACCACCTGTGACATGCGTAACAAGAGCAGCATTCTAAGTTTTTTTTGTTTTTAACATTTTTGAGAGAGCACATGAGTGAGTGCACAAGTGGGGTAGGTGCAGAGAGAGGGAGACACAGAATCCAAAGCAGGCTCCAGGCTCCGAGCTGTCAGCACCGAGTCCAACGTGGGGTTCGGACTCACAAGCCGTGAGATCATGACCTGAGCTGAAGTTGGACGTTCAACCTACTGAGCTCCCCAGGTGCCCCGATGAGGACAGC